CTTGCAGAATGTTTGGTGGTGTCAATTATTATATATGCCTGAGCGGTTTTTTTTGTTTGTTTGTTAGTTTTTAAAAAAAGAGCTAAAGTGAATAGAGAGAAATAGTTATCTGATAACACACAGAGTGAACGATACTCATTATAATGAAACAAGGTGTATGCTTTGTTGAATGTAAAACTGATGATCTGTCTGCCCTATAAACTTTCACTCAATACACAATAAAAACTTAATTAAAAAAAAAAGAGTCAGGACAGTAAATAGTCTGAACACCTCCCCCACATACACCAGGTCCTCATAAAACCACATTCCAACCACTACTAATGAAACAGTGGTGTTTCACGGTCAAGGATTCAGAGCATCACCTCTTTTACAAAAAATACAAAGTTTAGTTTTAAAAACGTCTCTCTTATTACCACCCCATGCCACGATAAGGAGAAAAACCTATTTTTATCAACACCCAGGGGATCTAAACCTGGATTCTAAGTAATAATCTACTTTGAGAATTTATAATCAAGAACTTAGAAATTTAGAATGTAATGAATGTAAAACTAATAGTCTCCCATGTAAAGTATCACATAATTCACAATAAAACATTTAAGAAAAAAAGAAAAAAAAAAAGAACTTAGAAATTTTAGGATGCTCAACAGATTTTCACAACCACACCATTATTTATGAAGAACATAGAGAAATGTTACATGAGAAGTGTACAGAAGACAGGTCTCCTAAGACTCTTCTGGGCCTGAAATTAAAAGTGCTAACTGCTACTTGGGCTGCCCCCTAGGGACCAAATTAAAAATTTCTAAAAGTATCTTCAAAGAAATGTCTTCAATAAATATTCATTCAATACTTAATGCTGCTGCTTTATAGGGTTTCAAAGGCTGTAAATCTTTACGGGAGTATAAAGCCTCATCTTTCCCCAGTGAAGCAGCCATGTATTCAAATTGCTGACCCTAGGAGAGTAGCCCAGTGCAAAACCTACTACCCTACTGGGTACTTATTAAATACCTACTTTATTATGAGGAGTCCTGGAGTCCTGGTGTGGCGCTATAAGAAAAACAATCAAGGTCGGTTTGAACTGCAACGTCAGTGGTTCAAGCTCACCAGCTGTTCCTCAGAAAACCTATACAGGATCGCTATGGGTCGGAACCAACTCAACGGCACTTAACAACAAATGAGGAGTCCTGGTGTGGCACCATAGGATAAAGCACTGGACTGCAAAGTTGGTTTGAACCTCAAGGTCTATGGTTCAAACCTACCAGCCACTCCTCAGAAACCCTATACAGGGTCGCTGTGAGTCAGAACTGATTCTACAGTACTTCACAAGTCGGTTTGAACCTCAAGGTCAGTAGTTCAAACTCACCAGCCACTCCTTGCAAGTCCCTATACATGGTCTCTATGAGTTAGAACCAACTCGACGGCACTTAACAACATAACAACAATATGCCTGATATGTCACTGTAAGGTAAGCACTGGACTGTTAACCACAAGATTTGCATTTCAGAAACCCTTTACAGGGTGGCTAGGAGTTGGAACCGACTCCACAGCACGTAACAACATGTGCCAGGCAAAGGAACCCTAGTGGTACAGTGGGTAAAGTGCTGGGTTGCCAAGTGTTGTTCAAACCACCTTGGAAGAAAGATGAGGCTGTTTGCTCAGGTAAGGATTTATACTCTCAGAAACCTTAGGGAAGTTCTACTCTGTCCTACAGGGTTGCTATGAATCTGAACTGACAAGATATGGCAGTGGGGTGGGGCTGGCGATATGCCAGATAAGGAATCCTGGTAGCTTAAATGTTAACCTAAAAGTGTGCATATCAGCGGTTCGAACCCAGCAGGCACTCTGGGAGAAAGATGTGGCAATCTGCTTCCATAAAGATTTCAGCCTTGGAAACTCTTTGGAGCAGGTTCTACTCTGTTCTATGACACTGATGATAACTCTGTAGGTGCTACAAAAAGCAATTTGGCATTGATAAAGTATCCCCATTGTGATTTTTGATAAGTTATCTGCAAGTTATTAACTGCACTCTAATTTTCAAAACATTTAGTGCCAAAGGACACAAATTATAAACAATTAGTTAGAAAACAGCAAAACAAAACAGCAAATTTTAAAAGCATAGTGTAAATAAGCCAGTAAGGTCAGCCCTAGAACCTCTCTCAAATCTTTCATTCCCAATTCACACCACTTGCAGAAGACTCCTGGTTTGCCTTTTCCTCCCCAGGGTTTGGCAGAGCAATTAGCATCCCCAACTGACTTGCCTCAAAATCTGGTTGTTTGTCAAGTCCGTTCCTGCTCATAGTGACCCATATAGGATTTTCCAAGAAGCAGCTGGTGGGTTTGAACTGCCAGTCTTGCAATTAGTAGTGCAATCCTTATCCCACAAGGCAGGTTCTATACTCTGGGTACAAAGATGTGCTTCTGGCAGCCAGAGTTGGGAATCATTGTAGCTTTCCCAAAGAAACTATTCAGTTTTAGTTACATTACATGTATCTGGAGTCCTGGTGTGCCGCTGTGGCTAAGCACTGGACTGCAAAGCACAAGGTCAGTGGTTCAAACCCACCAGCTGCTCCTCTGAAATCCTGTACAGGGTCGCTGTGAGTAGGAATCCACTCAGCCACACATAACAACAACACATATCTGATGAAGGAAATTACCATTGCCATGGAAGGTATGGAATTAAAACTTCATTTACATTTTTCCCACAGAGAAAAAGTCTTGTTTTGTCTATATAATATTGTCTAGATTAGTCTATGTTTGTCTATATAATATTGAGTTAAAATACTAGAGATTACCAAAGGGAACAACAACAAAAATCTCTGATTTAACCAACCACAGACATGCTTTAATACAGTTAGTCAGCTAAGGGATATCAATTGCCAAATTATAAACTATTTGGAATTAGCTGATATCAGCTAAGTGACGTTTATGGCAACTGGAATCAAAAGAAAAAATTTTCACTGAAAATGATAGTTTAAAATTAAACAGCTCATGCAATTGCTAACATGCTAAAGAATAATATAACACATTACAGAACATATTATCCCATTATGGAAACCTTATCACTGACAATCAGCAGTCATTACTGAAGCAAAGTAAAGAATAAACATTAACTACAGAATGTGTATATCATTTTTAATCTAGTGAAGTAATATGAGTATATTTAGTTTGGGTGTGGACATTTAAAGCCATGAGTCAGAAACAAAATATTTAAATGAATTAAAATTAAACAAATTTTAACAGTTGAATTTTAACAAAATTCAAACAATTGCAAAAATATTTGTAAAAATAGTACTTCAAAGTAAAAAATCAATCTAATAAGATCAGGAAGTTTAAAGTGGAGGGAAAAATTATTTGCATCTGTCTAAAAAAAAAGTTTATTTGCATCTTCAGAAATTCTATACAGGGTTACTGTCAGAATTCACTGGATGGCACTTAACAACATGCATGCCAGACATTTTATATATACCACATTTAATATTCACAAATACTATGTTGAAGTTAAGTGCCGCCAACTTTGCAGTTCACACCGAACTTGCAGTCTAGTGCTTATCCTATAACACCACACCAGGGCTCTCACAATTACCACACTTTTTACAGAAAACTTAATTAAAAGTAACAACTTCTCTGGATGTAGAGAAACAGTAAATCAGAGCAGCTGGGGTTTAACTATCTGTTTGACTCTAGAGCCTTTGCTCCTTACCCTCTTTTACTATTTAAATGTAAGAGTCATTTCATTCATAAAACAGAAATTGGAAATAATCCAGTTATGTTTCACAAAAATGAAAGGAACCAACAAAAATAAAATTGAGGAGAAAAATAATTACATATGTGTACTTTTCTTTTTTTGGTAACACTTTTATTCCTAAAATTGATCAATAATTATAAATACAGCTTAAAGAGTAAGACTCGATCATCCAGTCTTTTGGGATATTCTTTAGAAACTATAGAACAAAGGGTTGGTTGTATAAACACAAGGAGAAAGAAAGAGCCCACAGCTAATATAGGCCATATCCTGGAAGAGAGAAAGGGGTGGGGATTATTTTTAGAAGTTCTGGGTCAAAAACTTGGTGTTGGTCACCAAGCTTCACCGTCATTCTTTTCAGTGTTTTCCAGAACCAATGCTCTCCTCTTCCATTTTGTTTTCCATCCCCTCAAAACAGTCCTCAAATTTTTTCTTCACAGTATCTTTTTCTTCACAGTATCACTGCAACTAACCATCTATCGGCCACTCTGGAAGTGTTCATAGAATTAAACTGGTAGTTTTAACATGCCTTGAAACAAAAGGAACACACTTTCAGAATTTGAAGTACTTTATATTTTGGGTAAATGTGGGGGCACATCTCTTGTTTTACAGAAGGGGCAAATGAGACTCGGAAAGAGGACATGACTTGCCCAAGGACAAAAGAGTGAGTTGGCTGCGGGGTCAGAGGTTGAAGCGTAATTATGGCCCGAGTCTCCACGGCTTTTCCAACCACACAAAACCCAGCAGAACCTCATGGGTGGCAGTGTCCAAAAGCCTGCCGTTGACAGGTCAGAAAGACCTCTCCAGAGATTACAAAATACCAAAAATAGCTCACTGCTTCGTGGTGCTCTAGGGTAAAGACAGGTTCGTTGGGTTTTCGGAATTTAGAGTATGAGAAAGGGGGCGGAGAGAAAAAACCAGTCTCCCCTTCCCGGATGCTGGTGCTCCTCCGGTCCCCTATCCCAGCCCACCAGTGAGACCAATTCAGTTTCCAAATTCAATAAATAAGAAGGCACTGGAACAAAGCGACCTCAAGCTATCCCCTTCCCTACTGTGCGACCCCAAAGCCTGTAGATGCAGACTACGAGTTCCGGCATGCTGCGCGCCTGTACACCCTCAGCCACAGCCACGCAGGCGACGCGATGATCGCCGGGAGTCATAGTCCGTGGCTTGCGGGGGGAACCGACGGCACGCGTGGCGGGACAGGCAGGCCTAGCGTCCCCACAAGCTCCTGGGAGCCCACCAGCTACCCGGGTCTCACCTCGACAATGCGGGTGCACTGGGTTCCCTTGCCGGCGCCCGGCCCGCCAAGGACAAACACGACTTGCGGCTTCATGAAGCTGAGAGGGCAGAGAAAAAGCGGTCGGCGAGTAAGCAGTGGGAAGTGAAGACTCCGGACTTGCAACAGCTGGCGACTGTAGCGGCTCAGCATACACTGTGTCTAAGCCGAACTAGGAGGTTGCTGACAGCAGCAGGGACACTGGAGCGAGGGGCGGGGTGGGGAAGGCGAAGAGAGAAAGGGGCGGGCCGAGCTGGCGCAGACTGTGGCCCTGCTGCTGTGGCACCGGTGGCGTCCACCCTGCGACCGGAAAGGGAGGAGCTTGCGGCTTCTCGCCCCACGGCGCCAGCGCATCAACAACATCTACCCCCCTTGACTGTGTATTCATTCACCCTCCTCTCTTCCCTTCTGTTCATTCATTCGTTCATTCCGTAAAAAAGTTTGTTCTGCGCCCCGACGCAGGCGCAGTACTGAAGGACAGTATACAATGGAGTGTAAATCCCGTTGTCTCTGTTCACAAGGATGTTAAATTCCTGCAGCCAACCTGAACAAGTGAACACACAAATACATAAATATATTGTTGTTAGGTGCCATCAAGTCGGTACCAACTCATAACGACTCATGTACAACAGAACAAAACATTCCCGGTCCTGGGCCAACCTCACAATTGTTGTCACGCTTGAGCCCATTGATGCTGCCACTTTTGCCAATCCATCTCGCTGGAGGTCTTGCTCTTTTCACTCTGACCCTCCACCTTACCAAACATGATATCCTCCAGCGACTAGTCCCTCCTGGCAATATGTCCAAAGTATGAGAGACGAAGTTTGGCCATCCTGGCCTCCAAGGAGCACTCTGGCTGCACTTCTTCCAACACAGATCTGTTGGTTCTTTTGGCAGCCCATGGCACTTTTCAATCTCCAACACCATAACATAAAAGCATCAATTCTTCTACGGTCTTCCCTAGTCACTGTCCAGCTTTCACATGTATATGAAGTTAATGAAAATACCATAGGTTGGGTCAGGCACACCTTAGTCGTCAAGCTGACATCTTCGCTCTTCAACACTTTAAAAAGATCTTGTGCAGCAAGCAGATTTGCCTAATGCAATACATCGTTTGATTTCTTGACTGCCTGACTGCTGCTTCCATGAGTGTTGATAGTTAATCCAAGAAGAATGAAGTCCATGACAACTTCAGTTTTCTCTCCTTTGATAAGAATGTTGTTTATTGGTCCAGTGGTGAGGATTTTTGTTTCTTTACATTGAGATGCAATCCATACTGAAGGCTGTGCTCTTTGATCTTCATTAGTAACAATTTTAAGTCCTCTTCACTTTCAGCAAGTATCATCTGCATATTGCAGGTTGTTAATGAGTCTTCCTCCAATCCTGAGGCTACGTTTTTCTTCATAGAACCAAGCTTCTTGGTTTATTTGCTCAGCATACAGGTTGAATAAGTATGGTGAAAGACTACAACCCTGTCGCACACCTTTCTTAATTTGAAACCATTCAGTGTTCCCATGTTCTGTTTGAACAACTGCCTCTTGGTGCATGTACTGATTCCTCATGAACTCAATTAAGTATTCCGGAATACTCATACTTCACAATGTTGTCCATAGCTTGTCATGATCCACACCACACAATCGAAAGCCTTTGCATAGTCAATAAAACACAGGTAAACATCTTTCTGGTATTCTCTGTTTTCAGCCAAGATCCATCAGACATCAGCAATGATATCACTCATTCCACGTCCTCTTCTGAATCCAGCTTGATACTCTGGAAGTTCTCTGTCGATGTATGCTTGCAGCCATTTCTGTATTACCTTTAGTAAAACTTTACTCTCATTGGATATCAAAGATATTGTCCTATGATTTCCACATTCTGTTGGGTCACCCTCTTTGGAATGGGTACAAATACAGATCTCTTCCAATCAGTTGGCCAGATAGTTGTCTTCCAAATTTCTTGGCATAGATGAGTGAATGCCTCCAGTGCCACATCACTTTCTTGAAAGATTTCAATTTGTATTCCATCAATTCTTGGTGCCTTGTCCTTTGCTAATTCCTTTAATGTACCTTGGACATCTTCCTTCAGTATCACTGGCTCTTGATCATATGCTATCTCTTGAACCGGTTGAACATCAACCATTTCCTCTTGATACAATGGCTCTGTGTATTCCTTCCATCTTTTGATGCTTTCTGCATCATCCAATAATTTGCCCATAGAATCCTTCAATAACTAAAGTTGAGGCTTGAATTTTTTCTTCAGTTCCTGTAGCTTGAGAAATGCTGAGCATTTAAATGGTGATCAAGGCTTTGAAGGAAACAAATGGAGACATAACATGTTGCCCCAATGTTGGGAGTCCTAGTGTGGCTCTGTAGGATATGCACTGACTGCTATCCACAAAGTTGGCAGTTCAAACCCACCACATGCTCCTCAGAAACCCTATACAGGGTCACTATGAGTCATAACCAATTAGAAGGCACTTAACAACAAACATTGTTAGAAAACATAAGTTATTAGATAGTCAAGGAAGAAATAGCATAGGAAAGAATAAAACCAAGCAAAGGGTGAGAAAAACATATGCAAATCCTAAAACGGTTTGAAGTGTTTACAGTTGAAAGAAGGCCAGGGAGATCAGAGATGGGAGAAAGAGGAAAAGAAAGGAAAGCAGCAGCAGCGGTGAAAGAGTGTGAAGAGGCATTGCATTCCGACCTTTGGAAGGGAGTTTGGATTATATACTAATTGCCATGACAAGTTCTTTAAGTCCTCCAGTTCCCTGCCCCTTCATTAGTGAAAAATATTAAGGGAGAAAAAAAGGAGGAGTCTGAGGACTGAGTAGGAGTTCTGGTGTGGCACTGTAGGATAAGCGCTTGACCTTAAGGTCAGTTTGAACCACCAATTAACCGCTCCTCAGAAACCCTATACAGGATCGCTATAAGTCGGAACTGACTCGGAACTTAACAACAACAACAAGAACTAAGTAAATACCTTGATCAAGGTCTTTCCCCATTTAGTGAAGATACTAGGATTCAGGGGAAATTAGTAGGCAGGATGTGTAACTCTTTCTCTTAGAAGTAAAAGATTTTGAGAAGTTTTTTGGTTGTCCTACCAATAACGAGTCCTGGTGTGGTGCTGTGGGCTAATGTGCTGGACTGCAAAGTCGTTTGAACCACAAGGTCGGTGGTTCAAGCTCACCAACCGCTCCTTGGAAACCCTATACAGGGTCACTATGGATCAGAACCGACTCGACAGCACTTAACAACAATAACCAATAACTGACTTACTTTGTTGTTGCTGAATGCCATCGAGTCATTTCTGACTCATATCGACCCTGAATAGGGTTTCTGAAGAACTGCTGGTGGATTTGAATTGCTATAGCTTGTTTTGTTATTAAGTGCCCTCGAGTCGGTCCATCACTTCGACTTAGACTTCAAGAAACATCTATGAATCTTTGAACTTCAGTTTCTGTGTCTTTAAACTGGAAAATGGAAAAAACAAACCTGTTGCCCTAGAGTCAATTCTGAGTCTTGGCACCCCCTTGTGTTACAAAATAGAACTACTTCCTAAGCATTCGTGGTTATAATATTAGCTTATGGAAGCAGCTTCCAAGATTTGAACCCACAACTTTTAGGTTAGTAGTTTTAGCCACCTGGGGCCCTAAGGGTCCTACACATTCATGTCCTTTGATGAGAAAAGGAAAAATTATTCAATTGCATCCATTCTTCCCCTTTAGAGTATGTCTGTAGGGTCTACCACAGAGATTGTCAATATTTTTCTGTTTAAGAGCCAAATAGTAAATACTTTAGGCTTTATGATTCATTTGATCTCTGTTGCAGCTATCCAACTAGGCCATTTTAGCAGAATACATAAACAACAACATAAACAGATGACACCAAATTTTGATTTCATATAATTTGCCTAGATCATAAAATATTAGTCTTTAAGATTTTTTTTTCAACAATTTAAAAACATAAACATCAGTTTTAGCTTGCATCTTATACCACAGCAAGCACGCATGGGACATAGTTTGCTGATCCCTGACCTGGGAGAATGCTTGGTGTAAGAAGCTCAATTCAAACTGTAATAGCAAAACGAACAACCCCACTCAGTCCTATGAAACTATGGATTTATTCAGGAAATTAAAAAAAAAAAAAAGCCATTTGAATGCAGGCAGGTTTCAGCCCACATAGGTAAAAACTGATGACTGGAACTGAAGAACAAAGACAGCTATAGTACAGGGGACAAAGAAATGGAAATACTGTCATTTGATTGGTTACTCTCCCATTGAGGTCATAAAGAGAATAGGTTGGGGGCAAGGAATGGGCTTGTATTAGAAGCTTTGGTAATTGATTTCAGGAACTAAGGTGGCATTGTAGGATAAGCACTGAACGATTAACAGCAAGACTACAGTTCAAAATCATTAGCCACTCCACAGGAGAAAGATGAGGCTTTTTGTACTGTTGATCCTGTAAAGATCTATAGCATCTGCATCTAAGACCCTATAAAGGGTCACTAAGAGTCCAAATCAACTGGATGACAATGAGTTTGGGTTCCATTATAGTCAAATATCCTGCAGGTGGGATCATAAAAACATCACTGTGGTTTATGTTTAAACAGCTTTAACCAGATGTCTCAGGAGTTTAAGGTAACCTAATTTCCTAGAAACAACTTACTAAAACAAAAACACTTTTACATAGGAACTTTAGATAAAGCTGCTTCCCCTTCAAACAATTCTCTTTAACACACCCTAGTCATAAATAAATATTTCTTGGGTTCACTTTATACAAAAGACAGCTGTGTCAAGATTCCCTTCCAATGAAAGGAATTTCATATCCTGCCTTGACCACAAATCCCTGAACAATTAGAAAACCAAATGACAGGAGCCTATGAAAGGTCTGAGTTGACTCTGTTAAATGCAGGCAAGTAAAAAGACCAGTTTGATTTAGCAAGAACTGAGTTTAATTCAGTCATTTAGAAGTTTCATGAACTTCTCCTTTATAAAACTCAAAGGAAGGCCCAAGACCACCATTCTGGCTTCTTAGTGGAGTTGGTGGTGTTTGTTTGCCTTAGAGTCACTTCTGACTCATAGCAACTCTCTATAGGATTCTTTTTGGAAGTAGAAAGCCTCATCTTTCTCCTGCAAAGCAGCTGGTGAATTT